TCCTGCACGCTGTAGTACAGATGGTCCCCAAAACACTCATTTTTAAATGACTTATTTGCTGGACAGAAAATGATTATATATACTCACGGGCGCAGTGTGCTCTGTGTGCTTGGGAGGAAGTCAGCCGAGCTCCCAAACGCATCATCACCGCGGGTCCCAGGTCCATCAGATTCAGAGCAAACAGCACAGTGACGCGAAGACCAAGAAACAACTCTAAAAGTTGCTTCAATCCTGCCCTATACGACTTGAATTTTGATTTGGCCTTAAAAATTGTAAATAATGAAGGAATGTAAGGTGTCATGTTTTGGTTTCATAAGTGGGCGTTGTAGTTCCCATTGGAAATAGAGCTTATTAAATTTTAGTATCTTTAAAGTTGAAATGTATTCTTTTTTGGTGCTTATTTGTTTTAGAAGTAAAGAAAGAATCAAAACATTTAATTGCTGAAATGCCTTTTGCAGACATTTTGGCTTTATGAAAATTTTTATCGGTTACTCGATAATTATTTACAGAAAAATTAATAATCAGATCTAATCAGAAGAACGGAGTGCTGCTCGGCAGCATACAGACCCCTCATAAAGTCCCCGCTGTGCTCCGCTGTTTGACTGCGTTTTACGGGCCTGGCTTCACGCACTCGCTCTCCAGCCGCGTAGGGTGGGAGCACCGGGCCCCGTGGAAAGGGCCCAGCTGGGGACCACTAATGTCAGGCACCAGATGTCCCACCAGAAGTCGGGAAGGCAGGCACAACCCAGACAGGGGACCCTAGGGGACTGGGGCTGCTTCTGCCCCTCGGTGCAGACTTTGGCCCGGGGTGTGGCTCAGGTGGGCACTCGCCTGGGGCCTCGGGCAGGGACGAAAGAAACAAGAGAAAAGAAAACAAGGAAGGTATGCACACTGTATGAGTATCAACCGTCGCCTACTGCATATGTACTAGATACATAAATATGCACCAAACGCATAAAGGTGGAAGAACGCGGCTGATGGAGCCTCACCCAGGTGAGGGAAGCACTGATGTCCTTGGCAAACACCTGCATTTGAGGAGCAAAAGCAAGGTGCTGCCCGGCTGGGAGGTGGCAAGGGGCTGTGCGGCCACTCTGGATGCGGCATCACTAGTCCTCAGAGGACAAGACCGCCAGGCCCGGGGGGTCCCGACTCCTCTCCCTCAGGGAGGGCAGCGCCAGGCACTGTCAGGGCTCGGGGTCCTTGCAGGGACAGAGGACGGACAGGCTCAGGGAGAGGACAGGCGATGACTCACCCACAGCAGAATCTGCGGAGTAAGCCAGCAGAGCGAGCCTGGGAAAGGTCAGCGGCCTCCTGTCCTCGTCCCCAAACCCCAGGGCGAGTGCGCGGCAAACCAAACCAGACGGCTTCCTCCTGCACAGCGGCCTCCGCCCACTCCCCGCCCCAGAGCAGAGCCCCAGACAAAGGAGCTCTGCACCCCGCCTGGGGAGGGACCTGAGCGACAGCCCCACCCTGCACCCCAGCCCACTGACCACCCGAGGAGGCACAGGTCAAAGCCGGTTCCGCCCTCCCTGAAGCCCCAGGCCCAGGAGCAGAGAGGCCGCCTAGGCGTGACTGGCAGCCAGGGACAGAGGGCCCTCACAGCGTGCCACTTGGTGGCCTGCAAGGACGCACTCAGCTGGGTGGTGTCTAGGGGCCAAGGGACAAACAGAAATGACCCACATCCCGGCCACTGGATGCCGTCCTCTGCTGCTCCGGGAGCACAGGCTCCCTCGGGGAGCATCCCAGGCAAGAGCGCAAACACGGGTCGTTTGTAAGGCAGGAAATAACACAAGTGTGGTCAAAGGTCCTGGAACCTGAACAGTATTCCACCCACTCACAGCTGTACTCCACAGCAAGGAAAAGTTGGCTGTGTTCAAACGTGCTAAGCTTTTGTTTTGTGGTGTTAGGGACTGGACCTTGGCCTTTTTAAAATTTTTTTTTTTTTTTTTTTTTTTTTTTTTTTTTGAGGGGATCGCACTAAGCCCCTAACTTTTGCAAACTGGGCATGAATTTGCAATCCTCTCACTCAGCCTCCCAGGTGCTGGGATGACAGGCCCATGTCACAAAGCTGAAGCTTCAGATGGTGTCTGAGAAGGGGCCCAGGAGGGGTGCATGGCCCGGGCTGTGTGCACACGGCGACGCCACCGCGGGGTTGCTCCCTACCGCACACTCACACCCCCACCCTGCTCCAGCCCGCCCTGAGCCTCAGATCACCACCTAAGGACCACCAAGCCCGGCAGGGGTCAGCTGGCCTGGGCTCCGGCTACACATTCGCGATGGGACATCCCTTCCCTGTGGTCCCTCCCTATCCCCAGATCTGGGTCTGCTGTGGCCATGGCTGGAGGCCCTGGGACAGCAGGACACAGGTGCTGCCACCCTCACAGCATCAGGTGCACCCAGATGCAGCCGCCCCTGGCAGTGGGTGCAGTGCGGCCTCGAGCTCTGGTCTGGGGATGAGGTCTGCACGTGCTCTGAACGGCACGGCATCCAAGCAGCTCTGCGGAACCAAGGTGCAATGACATCAGGGGACAGCATGGCTTCCACGAACGCCGTGCAGTTATGAGATCTTATATTTTGGAGCAAGAACCACTTGACAGTCTGGGCCCTCCGCAAGTTCACGATGCCCGGGGACACAGCCCTGGAAGGCTCTGAGGTCGCCAGGCTTGTCCCTGCAGGGGTCGGCACAGGGCCACCGAGGCCAGAGGAGAACCTGCCACGCGCAGGCTGTTTCCGAACTGCACGGCCCCAGAGCTCCCCACGAGCTGACCTCAGGCCGACCCAAGCCACACTGTGACGAGACCTCAGTGGCCTGGCTGGATAGGCAGGCTCAGCACGGCCCGCTCAGGTTCAGCCTGTTATCCGGGCCCTGCTGGGACTTGCAGCTGTCGGCTGCCACCCAGCAGCCTGGTCTCCTGCTGGTTAGGGCAGGCCCACCACAGCCAGGGCCTCGTACCGGCTGGCCTCGCCCATCCCTACCACTGCTTCTGGATCTTGTGGGGACCAGGACAGGCCCCCAAGGGCCCCAGAATGGGACTCCCAGCCGAGCACCCAGCTGTGTCCCACACTCCATGCTCAGGGAGTGCAGACCTGAGCCTCAGCGTCCTGGTATCAAGGAGAGGCCCCGGCACCTCCACCCTCAGCTCACCCGAGTCACCTTCTTCTCCCAGTGAGAGGCCCTCTACCCTTGGCGGGGCTCAGAGGGGGCTCAGAGGTCTCCGGGTCCTGAGCACCTGAGGGGCTGCAGGATCAGCTCCCTGCTACTGCCAGAGCCAGTAGCCAAGAGCCCTGTCTCCCCAGGGCAGGGACAGTGACCACGCATGTGTCTCCAGAGTGGTGGCCCCAGCCCCCAAGTGTGCCCAGCAGGCTCGGGGCTCCCGCTGGCTGTGAGGCCTGGGGAGTTGGCGCTTGCAGCGGAGAAGCTGCATCTGAGCCTTGGCTGCTGCTTTTGCCCGCTGTCCCCTGTGGTGGACCAGGGTGGGCAGAGAGGGGCCCAAGCCATGCAGGGTTCCGGGGCTGAGGAGACAGCGTGTGGGGACACACAGTAGCCGCTCCCTGGTTGCGGCTGTGAAGGGAAGCCCCACGGTGGCAGGCTGTGGCTCCGGGGCTGTGTCCTGCACATCCTGCCTCAGGGCCAAAGCAGACGTGAAGACAGAATCTGGACACAAGATTCTTGGTAGGACACGGAGAAGGGGCGGCGTGGACACAGGATTCGCAGAAGGAAAGCTGAACTTTGCCTCGACCAGCCAGACCAGGAGCTCTGCTGGGTGCCCACCAGGCTTGTCCACGCGGCACACAAGCACCCGGCTGGGCAGAAGGCATAGGCACACCTGCATCCCAGCAACTCAAGAGGCTGAGGCAGGAGGATCACTTGAACCCAGAATAAGACCAGCCTTGGCAACACAGTGAGACCCCGTCCTTTAAAAATGCCCAGGCTTTTAAATCTCCCTTCTGTGTCAGGCGCGGCCTGGAGCTGGCAGCAGGGCAAACTGAAGTTGGGCAGAGGGAGGTTCTGCTGTCACACAGCTCCCGCCAGGGGGCAGCAAGTCCCTCTGGCACCCACACAACCGCCAGCAGGAGGGCTGTGTTTACTGAAGGACTGGACAGACAAATGGACAGACGGATGAAGCACGATGGAGCCTGGGACCACAGACAGGCTCAGGAGAAGTGGGCACGGCGGGAAATGTGTGCTCAGGCCCCGGGCTTAGAGTGTGCTGAGGTGGGAAGGCCTGAGGGGAACCAACAGTCCAGAGCAGCAGACAGCCAGCTGGGGCTAAATCTCCACAGGGGTGGGGGAGTTCAAAGGGCAGCGCCGTGGTGAGCAGGGTCTGGTCATCACACGGGACCTTGGGCCTGCTGGCAAGAAGAAGCTGTCGCGGGGCTCCAGGAGACAAAGCACGGGACCGGGGCTTTGGGAAGGCCGTCCTGACAGGCAGGGAGGCGGAGCAGGGGTCGCTGGGACCAGGCTGGGCCAAGGGGGAAGGCTGCCACAGGAGGAGGAGAGGAGCAACGGGTACAGGCTGGACCCTGGAAACAAACGCCAAAGAACAGCCCGTGAGGAGTAAACACCAGAGAACACACAGCCCCAGCCAAGGGGAAACGGGAGGACCGACTAGGGGCGCCCGAGCGCGGGAAGGGCTCCCAGCCCACAGGGTGAGGGGGCCTTAGTGTAGCTGTGGCAGCCCAGGACTCAGGGCAGCTCTGGGTGGGCACAGCAGGGCCTGGGTCTCTAATGGGTGCTGGGCACACATCCCTCTGTCCAGGCCTAAGTGCAAGCTGCCGTGCAGGACTCGGCCAGCAGCCTCCATGGCCCATGTCCTTCCCTGGACAGGAGCTGGGGTCCTGGGTCCCAGGCATCCTGGCCACTGGGAAAGTGGCGGGTCCAGGGGTGTCGGGGTTCCCCTCAAAGCACCCGCACAGACCTTGGGCTCCTGTGAAGCAGCCCCCATGGCACTCAGCGTAATGAGTATTTACTTAGTCCACAGAGCTGGTGCCCAGGCAAACAGTGCATCTCATAGGCAGAGCCCTCCCCGGCCCCCCTGCAGGCACTGCCTGGAGGGTATAAGAGGCCCCCGGCCGCAGCCGACACACACTCCGTGAGACCTCCGGCCTGGGACACCAGCTCCTCCTGCCTTCCTCCATGAAGCTCAGCACCGCTGTCGCCCTGCTCATGCTGGCATGCAGCTGCCCCTCTGGTGAGACCGGGGGGGGGGGGCCCTTGTCCCCTGCCCACAACCTAGGGCTCCCCAGGCAGAAGGGGCTGGCATGGAGAGAGGAGATCCCATAAGGATGAACATGGAGCTCGCACACACAGGAGTGTGGAGACTGCATACATGAGCGTGGAGATCACACACAGGGATGTGGCGGTCACACACATGAGCATGGAGATTGCACACGGAGTGTGGAGATCACATATGTGACAATGGAGACCACACATAGGAACATGCAGATCACATATGTGAGCATGGAGACCACACACAGCGAGAGGAAAGGAGTGGATCTGAGAGGAGGTGGGGGAAGGTGGGGGGACCACATCCCCCCGGCACCCTGCGTGGGAACCAGTCCCTCACGGCTTCCCTCTGCATCGGTTTCCTCCCCTCCTGTCTGAAAATGCCTTTAAAAAACTAAACCGATCCAGTTAATTCCTGAGCAAAGTTTCATGAAAACCCGTGGATATAGGTTTTATGGCGGGGCAGGGGTAGACAACCGCGACCAAGAGGCAGGGAAGCAGCTGCTTTGCAGAGAGCCTCCTTGTCGCTCAGGGCAGTGAGATCCTTCTGGCCGGAACTGTGCATAACGAGGTCTGTGCTGTGTGCGGAGGTGGGCGCCTCAGCAGGACGGACGGACGCCCTTGAGGGTGGGTCGGAGGATCCCTGTATCTGTGTTACAAATAATAATTAGTGCTAATAACAGCGTGCAGCACCGACCCAGCGCTGAGAACGCCCACCCCGGCCTGCGCCCTTGCCCTGCCGTCCTTCCTGTTCTTGCAGCAACCCAAGGGGCAGGGCTCTCGCTCTCACTGCACAGAGGAGGATGCGGAGCCCCTGCAGGGTCGCTCACTGGCCAGTACGCGGTAGGGACCCCGGGCTGGAGAGCTGGGCGACAGGTGGCCTCAACACATGGCCCAAGTGGAGCCGGAGGCCGACTGCATGCAAGGCGCGACCTGCAGCTCCGTGAGGGGTGGAGCGGCAGGCGTGGGAACTTAGCTTCCCCCACGGCCTCAGGCCGCACAGGGGGGCACACCCAGCGGAGGGGAGCACAGTGAGGCAGGCATCCAGGCCCCGCAGGCCCCGGGCCAGGCCCCACACACAGCAGCCTCCAGGCCTGGCCCGCGCTCAGGCCGCTGGCCACAGGTGAGCACCACAGCTCTGGTGGAAATGGAGGCTCCCGGTGGCCTCTGGGTCAGATCCTCCTCTCCCCATCACCACCACTGCCCCTCCTGGGCCGGCGTTGGCGGCTGGCCCACACCCACACCCTCTGCCTCCACACCAGGTTCTGCGAAGACGTGCCCGTCGTTCCACAGCGTCCTGCAGAACTTCCTGATGGGCACACTGTCTGGCTACGAGAGCACAGTGGAGCCCTTCCAGCCAGACCAGGAGATGAAGGAGGCGGGGGCCCGGATGAAGATGCTGGTGGACAGCCTGCCCAAGGGCATCCGGGAGGCGGTGCTGAAGCTCTCGGTGAGCTCCCACCTGCCCCTGCCCAGAAGGGCCCGGTATCCTGGCCCCATATCTACCCCAATCAAGAGAGTCACGGTTGATGGAGGCCCCCGACAAGCAGGCACAGTCGTCTCTCAGGCTTTTCCCCGGGGCTTTGTTGATCTTGGTTTTGTTATTTTGGGAGTTTCTTACTATGTAACTCAGGCTGGGCTCAAACTCCATCTTCCTGCCTCAGCCTCCCAGTGCCAAGATTACAAGTGTGTGCCACGGTGCCCAGCCTCCTGTCACCTTTTAAGAAAAATACCCCAGCCCTTGCCCACCCGCTCCCCAGCACTAACTGCACGTTGGTCTTTGCCACAGTCTCCGGGCACCTTGGCCTGCAGACCCTGAAACTCACTCACCGTTCTCTTGGGTTTTTCTTTCCTTTTTAGGAAAAGATAGTAAAAACCAGTGAGTGTGCTTAGAATTCAGCAACCCAAGGCCTGCTGGACTCAAAGCTGAAGATGTCCCCCGACCACCCCACCCCTGCCCGCGGCCCCCTTGGCTTTGCAATAAACCTCCAGCATTGCACTCAGCCTCTGGCTTCTCCCACTCACTTGCACAGGGCGGGCTGGGCTGCAAAGCCCAGGGAGGGCGGCCGGGACCCCAGGGCGCCTCAGACCCCTTCCTCAGTTTGGGTCGGGTCCTTTCCCACACCCAGCAACCTCCACGGCCCAGTCACCGTCCACTCCCCCCAGCCCTGGCCCCACAGCCCAGGCACTCACGGCCTTCACTCTTCGGGGCCTGGAGTCTCCCAAGGCCCGTGGCCATCAGTGCCCCCACCTGTCCCCCACGAGGGCTCCCAAGGCTCCCAGAACTCCAGCTCCACCAGGGTCTCGGCCACCGCCAGCCCATGCGTCCTGTGGTGGAGAAGGCAGAGTCAGGGCTGCCCTAGCCTTCTCCCCGCACCAGGGCCTGTGACAGCCACGACACCCACAGCCCAGCAGGTATCCGTGGCGGGGACAGAGCTGGCCCTGAAGAGGTGCCAAAGGGACATAAGGCCCCAAACACCGGCCTGAGGCTGCTGAGAGCCAGGTGGTATCGGCCACCAGGGGGCAGTGTCACCACGCTCTGTGGAATCAGGGCCCCAAGGGTGGGACCCAGACTTCCAGGGACCTCTGCCGTAAATTCGATTTTAAAGTCTGCAGCAAAACAGGGAGGCCCACTCCCAAGCTGGCCACAGCCCGTCCAGAGGGTCCCAAGCGGCTGGCCTGGGTTTACAGTGCAGAATCAGAGCCTGATTCCCAGGTACCTGCACAGCTGCCTTGCCCACCCTTGGGGCATCGCCGTGGGCCCACCCCACCCTGCAGGTGGCAGCAGCTGCCAGAGCCAATAAAACAGACGAGTGGCTGGGAAGAGTACCCGGGACACACAGCCACCTCGCACCTAAGCGGCGCGGCCCACACGCCTGCTGTGCAGGAAAGGCTGGGCTGTGAAAATTCCAGGCCAGGTCAGGGGCCGGGCGGGATTCCTGGGGGCCTCCCCACCTGGCACTCCCCCGCATCCAGCTCTCCCAGTGCGCTCCACTGGTGCCCACTCAGCCCGCATTGTTCCAGTGGATAAAGATCGGGGCCAGGAAGGCTCAGAATTTTAATTACCGTCCCCTGCTGGGGAAGTGTTTACCTTGGGCAAGCGTGGTGCAGATAAGGGAACATGAAAGGAGGCACAGCTACCCCGCAGCAGGCCTCTGCCAGGGCCGAGAGGACCCACAAGTATGCGAGCTATGTGATCACCCAGAACCAGGCCTCAGTTTTCTTCTAAGAAGCAGGGTGCAAAGACAAATGGCGGCAGCCCCAGAGAGAGCAGGCCTGCGTGGGTGAGACCGCGGGGCAGACGCGGCAGGAGCCGAGCAGGGCGCCCGGCAGTCTCCAGGGCTCCTCTAACGCGGCCCGGTGCGGCAGCACTGCACTGCCTGCCACAGGCAGCCGGGCGAGCTCAGGCCGGGCCTGCCTCTGCGCACACCCGAGCTCGAAAGGGCTTTTGCTTTTGAAGAATGAAGAATGAGGAAGAGGGGAAGTCTACACTTGTGTTACATAAATAATGATTCGTGTAATTAGCGTTTTCTCTAGGAATAGGACAAACTCTAAGACACAGGAAGCCTTGCATATGACTAGGAGCTTCCTGCACTGGAGGGGTACTGAGCACCAACTGCATGAAGAAAAGACTTCAAATGTATCCCAGCCAAGAAAAAAAGGCCCCAAACCGGAAATGCGTGTTTAACACCCCACTCATTTTAACATTCAGAACTTTGAGTGGCGAAGGGGGAGAAAGTCACATTTCTTGGTGACTTTGTTCAGAAAAGTGAGTCTGGGTGAAAAAGGTTATCTGGAAAATATCTATTATCCCAACAACTTGGAAACCAAACACTCTTAGCCTCAGCTGCAGCCAAAGGGGACTGGTAGTCGCCAACGCCGCTCTCACTCCGTGAAACCCCGCTGATCAGCAGGCAGGCAGCGAGGCTCCAAACCCAGCTGGCTAAGGAGGGTCCGCCAGCAGAAAATCTGCAAGTGACTCACCGGGCCGGAGCAGGAAGCCAAACCAGCCCTAACCAACCTCAAGGAGATGGTGTGGATAAAACTGCGCTCAGAGCCCACGCCAGCTGCCACTCGCGAACACCTAGGGCTTGTGGGCAGTAACTCAGCGCGGGGCGACAGCCGGCTGACGGCTTCAGATGGACAATAAAGGGACCCTTGGCTGATGACAATCAGCTGCACAAACGATACCTACAGAGAGGTGTAATTACGGCTAGGATGAGCGTGAGTCATCAGCAGTTAGCCACCCAACACATTTCCACGATAAGCTAAAATTACCAAACCACAGGTCATGCAAAAGAAATCTGAAAATAGGTTCAGCTAAGCAAGCGTGGTTGCCAGCTTTGGAATTGACAGGCCAGGGGCTGGGAGCTCGGGTCTGGCGCCCTCGGTGTGCTGCACTCCCCGCCTACCCTAAACTGCTCAGCACAGGAAGTGCCTGGGGTTCACACCCTCAGCACAGCCAGCTCCCTAACCCCGTGCTTCCTCTGGGGTTCTCCAGGCGGCTCCTGCACCCAAGCAGGTCCTCTGTCAGCCCTAGGGCAAGCAGACACTCCAGGGCTCCCCAGGAGACGCGGGGTGCGGGGTCTCCCAGGGCTCAGTCCCCGCTTTCTCCCAGGGCTCAGTACCCTGTCCAAGACCTTCGCCACCCAGGGCCTGGCTTATTGCAGGTCACCTCTACACTAATTTCCTATGGCAGCTGTAACAGATTACCACAAACTTAATGGCTGTACAAAAAAAAAAGTTTGTTTATATTGCAGTTCTGGACCTGACTGGGTGGGAGCCAGGGAGCTGCAGCCAGGGCCCTGGATGGCAGGGACTCCGCTCGCGTTGTCTCTGCCCACCCTGGTTCCTTGGCTCGGGCTCCTTCCGGTCTTCAGCTCAGCTGCCCCACCCCACCCCCGCGTCTTCAGGCTCTGGCTCTGACTCCCTTCTGCCTCCTCTTGAGCTGCCGGGCGCAGCTAACCCCGAAAGAGGCCTGCTCCGCCCACTCCCTCCCTCAGGCCAGCAGGCCGCAGCCAGGCCCACACACCCTGTGCCTGTCCTCTGCCGTGGGACCCACGTGTTGGAGGTGCTGGAGACCACCAGGGACATGCTGATGAGCCCCAGAGTCTCCATCTCACCCCTTTCTCAATGCTTGCCCCACATCGCCAAAACCAAAGCGTGGCCTTTTTCTTTTTGGTCTTTTTGAACTCTATGCAGTTTGGCCTTGAGCTCACTGTGTAGCCCAGGCTGGCCTCGAACTCACAACGATCCTCCTTCCTCCGCCTCCCAAGTGCTGGGATTACAGGTGTGGACCACCATGCCCAGTGCAAAACGGTGGCCTTGAGCTCTGCTCCTGGTCTCTGCCTGCTCCCTGCTCCGCCTCAGCCTGCTGCTGTCCTTTGAGGCCGGCCCTGGGTGCACTGCTGGGCAGTTTGGCCATGAGCACACCAAGTCAGGCAGTGGCCTCATCGTGCTCACTGCCCACAGTGCCCTGAGGAGCCAGACCCCAGCCCTCACTACTAGCCACACTCAGATGAGGGGAACTGGCCGGCTCCCCTTTTTTTTTGAGACAGGGTCTCACTATGTAGCCCAGGCTGGCCTTAAGCTCAGGGCGATCCCCCTACCTCAGCACCCCCGAGTGCTAGGATTGCAAGTGTGCACCACCATGCCCGGCCTAACCAGTTTTTTGTTAATTAGAGTCGCCTCTAACCGGGCATCCTGCATTGGCCACCTCAGGCCCCTTCCAGATTGCTGCAGGGCTCTCCCCTCCTGCCCCCCACCGCCCTGCCCGGGCCCTCTGTCCCCAGGCTCCCTTCCTTCCATCTGCCTCTGCCGCCCTTTCAGGACAGGACCCCTGTGTGTGTTATCTCGCTGTACATCGTGTACAGAATTTAGAAAATCCAGGTGAGCAGAAGGAAAAGCACCCACTGGAATGTGACTGCACTATGGGCTCCTTCACACGGCCAGGACCCTGCAGCTGAGCCTTGGGCGGAGACTGAGGCCCTAAGTCAAGTACCCAGCAGGACACTGCTTGCCAGCAGGACCAGGGCAGTACCCGAGGGGTCCCAGAGAGAAGACCCCAGACCCCCAAAAGACCCCCCACACCTCCAGCCACCACCACTGCTTGGGAACTCCACAGGCAGCGAGGGCAGGAAGTTCCACCCACAGCGCCGCGGAGTCTGGGCTCCCCGGGCCTGCGGCCCATCTGCTTTCCGTTCCTGGATGAAGATGGACTCACTTTACAACACCAGGTGCTTCCTAAACCACAGACCCATCTGAAATGTGCTCATTCCATGCTTGAGCAGCACTAAGGCCTGATTATTACACAATTATAGCCAGTTGGTGGATGTTAACTATTAACCAGGTGATCCCAAAATCACCTCGAGTCTACACCGCAGAACAAGGATTGCAGAGCGCACCCTAACCCAAAGGACAGAGCACTTGGGAAAGCCGTGCGCCAAGAGAAACGCATTGGCTGACCTGTTAAAAGCTACATTCCAAGGCCAGGCGTGGTGGCGCACGCCCGTAATCTTAGCACTCGGGAGGCTGAGGCAGGAGCACCGTTGTGAGTTCAAGGCCAGCCTGGGCTACAAAGTGAGCTCAAGGCCAGCCTGAACTGCATCGCGAGACCCTGTCTCAAAAAGACAAAAAAAAAAGTTACAGTCCAGGATTTTAGGTTAGTCAAGAAGAAAGAGTGAGGGAGGCGGGAGGGAGCGAGAGGAAGGGGAAGGAGGACAGGCTGGGGTTTCCCTGCCCTGGGCACCCGCAGGGCGCACGCAGCTGCTGTGGCCGCGGCCCGGGGCTCTGAGCGGGAAGGGGGCAGCACCAACCCGCCAGGCCCGGCACAGAACAGGCGCCTGCATGGGTGGGGGTCACAGAGCTTGGCCCACACCCGTCCCGCGTGGGGACAGCGTGGACCCAGCCTCGTGTGCCCGCCCTGCCGGGGCTGCGACTCTGCCTGTGAGGAGCCAGCCAGGGCAGCGTGGCTGCGAACGGCAGGTGTGTGTTTCCTTTGGCACAGCAACATGTCATTTCCCATTTTTAGAACAATGCTCCAAACAGTCGCGAAAACAGCACTGGGGGTGGCCTTCTTCCTGGCCTCTTGGCCGGCCCTGGAAAACAACAGCACAGGGGTTTGTATTCAGAGCCTATTTGCACGTCCATAAAACTAGCAGCAGGACAAAGTCCTTCGCCCTGGGAGGGGGCAGCCGTGGGAGGGGGACGTGGCCCCGAACTGCGCAAGTGCTGCGGCCCCTGCAGGCTCCTTCGGGCAGGGACGCACCTCCCCGGGCGGGAAGGAAGCTCGCAAGAAGCCGGCGTGTCCGAGACAGGACAGGGTGTTCTCAGGAACCTCAGAAGCAGAGGAGGGCAGGAAGCAGCAGGCAGCCCAGGCCTCCTGTGGCCACGAGGGAACCTCTCAGCGTCCCGCATGGCTGCGCACGAGGACCCCTGGTCACCTCCAGGCTGGCTCTCTGCCCTTCCCTGTTCCTGAAACCAAGCAGTAGCTTCAAGGCTGCCGGGCCCTCCGCCTCGCCGTGCCCGCCCTCACTCCCACCCGCTGCCTCAGCTCCCATGCAGCTTCTCTCCGCGCCTGTCTCCCTACAGCGGCCCCCCCGAGCTCCGCCGTGGCCCTCGGAGCCCTCTCCGTGTCCTGGCCTTGAATGCCCTCTCACGTCCCTGTGGGACCAAACCCCACCGTGCTTGGAGCACACCGCCCGCCCTGCTTCGGAGACGCCACCTGAGCAGTGCTTTGTTTCCAGGGCGGGCGGCGTCACCCAGAGGGTGCTGGGGTCTGGATGGGCACCAGGCCATGGTGCTGCGGCAAAGAGCTTGGTCCTCTGGGACACTCGCTCGGTCCCCTCTACACTAGACGGCTGCCAGGAAGGTGCAGGCCCACTGTGCCTGGCTCAGCCCCGCCGTGTGACCACAACCACTCCTGCACCCGTCTTGGCGATGCTGTGCCGGGCCCTGAACCTCCAGAGCTGTGAACCGAACCAAACTCTTTCCTTTATAAAGTTCCCAGCCCCAAGAACTTTGTTAGAGTGACACAAACAGGGCAGCCCAGAGGAGAAAGGTGCTGGCTGAGCCTCTTCAAGGCACGGGGACCCGGGCCACCGTCAACGCGCCCTGGCCGCGAGCCAAGCCGCCTCCTGGAGTGCCCGTGAGGACACTGCGAGGGGGGCACCATTGGCCCCTGTGCCGCCCGGCTGAAGGGGCAGAGTGGGGGCTCACACCTGGCCCCGACACCGGTGGCCACAGCCCTCTCCGCCCTCCCTGAGAAGGCCTAAGAGCCTGGCTGTCAGGGTGCACAGTGGGCGGGGTCCCAGGGCTCTGACCCAGAGGCACAGCCCCTTGGGGTTCCTGGGATTTGAGGGTCACGGTGAAGCCCCGCCAAAAGAGCCGCATCTTCAACTCTGGTGCTCAGGGAAGCAGCGCAGGAAACCTCAGAGCTGCACAGAGAGCCACCTAACCGCACAGCCAAGGCTTTAAGTCTGCTCACTCCGACCGCTGCGAGACTCGCACGGCTGTCTGACCACTGCCAGCCTGGTGTCCTGTCTAAAGTGAGAGAAGCCGGGTAGGGTGGCGCATGCCTGTAATCTCAGCACTCGAGAGGCTGAGGCAGGAGGATCGCCCAGAGTTTGAGGCCAGTTTGGCCTCCAAAGTGAGATCAAGGCCAGCCTAACTACACAGCAAGACTGTCTCAAAAAAAAAAATAAATAAAAAAAAATAAAGAAATAAAGTGAGAGAATTATCTGGTTGATGGATGTTCTGGTCAGATTAAGTGACATGAGCTCCATAAAGCAAACTTGTGCATATTAAGTGTTCAGTAAATGATCATTGTTCCCCTTGGACATAAGCACCTGACAGAAGTCTAAAATGCATTCGGCCGGGCATGGTGGCGCAGGCCTGTAATCCCAGCACTTGGGAGGCTGAGGCAGGAAGATTGTTGCAAATTCGAGGCCGTCTGGGCTACAGCAGTACGCTCAAGGCCACCCTGAACTTCGTAGTGAGAACCTGTTTCAAAAAGACAAAATAAATTAAAAAATAAATGCATTCAGTCAGAGCATGAAAGGCTCACCCTCAGCAAGAGCCCTGTCCGCTTTCACACACATGCACCCACAGGAGCAGCACCCAGTCCAGATGGAGGACCTCCAGCTCCCCAAAAGTCCCCCATGTGCCTGCCCATCCACACCCTACACGATGGGACTCATGGTTAGTCGTTTTTTGTTTTGGTTTTTTTGGTACCAGGAATCAAATTTAGGACCTCGCACTTGCCCGGCAGGCCCTGTGCCTCTGAGCTGCATCCCTGCCCCTGGCGCTCACAGCTGAGCTTTCTCTGGCTGCCCAGCTTCACAGCCGTGGAGGCGGGGAGGCCCCGACTGTGTGTCCTCTGAGGAATGGACGCACTGTCGCGGTTCTACAGGCCTCCGCGGGCCGGATGTTGGGCGTGAAGGTGGAGAAGCCCAGACTTCACGCGCGATCTTTCCGCCAGCACCATGTGAGGTCTGGGTTTCTCCGCCCTCCACAGCGCCTGCCGGTGTCCTCGTTTGGGGAGACCCATCTACGTCTTTTGCCTATTTTTTGTTGGGTTGTCTTTTTCTTACTGATTCATAATAGTTCTTCCTCAGTTCTGCACTTGATCTTAACCAAAAGGCCGAGAAGCAATCTTCTTCCTCAATTCTGGAAACAAACACTTTGGCAGATCTGTGCGCTGCTGGTCAGAATCTCTGAGTTTGAGACGCGCTCTGTTTAAATGGTTCCTTTTGCCAGAGAGAGGCTTTTAATTGTGATAAAAACCAACTTGTTGATTTTGCTTCCCTGGTGAATGCTTTCCGTCTTCTGTTCTGGAAATGTCTGCTCTCGCTGAGCCCTGCAGACCTTCCCTCTACTTCTACTTTTCCTGGACTTCCCCCTGGAGGTGGACAGGAGTGATTTGCTTTCGCTTAAATAGGGAGCAAAGGTCCCTGAGAGAAACTGATCCGGTGCCGATGTGGAAAGACTGAAAATCTCTGGACCACCCAGCCTGGCCTCGGGGGACCAGGCCCTGGCTACGAGCTGAGATTCCAGGGCGGGCCCCTGAGGAGGGGCCGGGAGGAGCGGGGAAGAGGGCCTTGCCCAGCTTTCCTCACCGTGATGAAATGCCAGAGAGAACAGACGCATAAAGAGAAAAAGGCTGTTCTGGCTCAGTTACGGTCTCCAGCCCAAGATCAAGCAGACCGTGGCCTGGGGCTCTGGTGGGCTCCAGGGACAGGGTGGGGACCGGTCACAGCCAGGCGCGGCCAGGAAGGAAAGTGAGGGGGGCGCTGGTCCCACAGCTCTGTGACAGGGACCCGCCAGGCTCCTCCTCCTCCCCATAGCACTCCGGCCCTTTGGGGACCTGGGACACCCGACACTGGCCTGCACCCCAGCTGGGCCTGGGCCACTGTGCAAACCTAACTCTAACTCGTCCCCTGGCCCCACCGCTCGCTGTTCTCTGTCTAAACCTTTTTGCCATGGGGTCTTGAGTTTGCCTTCGAAATCTTCTCCGCCCTTCTCTCTCCTCCCCTGGACCAGGGCAGCAGTGTGGCCTGGGTCACTCTCGGGCAGGGCTGTCCAGGCGCAGGCTGCTTCTCTCCTCCCTGTGTCTCTGCCCAGCCCCGACCTCTCCTCCCCGAGTGCAGAGCCCAGGCACAGGGCGTGGAGAGTGGAGGCCACACCCTTGCTTCCCCAGCTGAAGGGGCTGGGGCTGTGATCCCCGCAGCCCCACATCTCAGGAGGAAGCGGATCCTGGGGGGAGGGGAGGGCAGCCAGTGCCAGGCCAAACAGGAAGCCAGGATCCAGGCCCGGTTTCCAGCCCCGGAGCACAGATGGCTCAGCCCCCAACCGCCCCGTCCACACCCCAGCCTCAGGCGGACAGAGATGAGCGCAGGTCATGCGGATGATCACCCTCTCCCAACCCTGTGATCACGGAATGCTGGCCTAGCGGCTGGCCAGGGTGGGAGGCGGCCTAGGGACAGTGTCCCTCCCTCCCGGCAGACAACAGCCTCTCCCCCGCCCCCTGCTAGGTTTGTCCCTGAGCCCCAGAGCTGGGTGACAAGTGGTGTGACACGAGAGTGGGGCTCCTGGACATGGTTCCAGACCATGTGGGCCGGGCCTTTCTCCAGAACCGCAGGGTGGACGGATCTCACGGGACGGGGGTGGCTTCACACCCAGAGCTGAGGGGTGAACCTGCAAGACACATCTTCCCTGGCCCAGCTCCCCTAGTCCTGACATCCTGGTGACCTGCGGAACCAGGCCCTTGCCGGCCCAGCCTGAGAACCCTGGGCTGAAACACACCTCTCTCTGTAATTTCCCCAGGTGCTGAAACTCAGCAACTAAAGATGGAAGAGCCAGGCACGACGGTGCAAGGACGTCATCCCAGCACTCTGGAGGCTGAGGCAGGAGGATTGCTACAAGTTCGAGGCCAGCCTGGGCTCCAAAGTGAGTTCAAGGCCAGTCTGAACTACATAGTGAGACCCTGTCTCAAAAAAGACAGAAAAAAAAAGAGAGAAAGAGAAAAATGGACAAGACCCCCCAAGCTGCTGCCTGTGCTCTACACCTCCCAGCAGATCACCCCGACATCCCCTCAGGCACCCCAGAACTTGGACAAAGTGGGGTAGCATTTGAGGTGACTCTGGTCTCACGCGGTGGATACCTTGAGCAGGGGTGCATGTGCTTCAGCGTACCCAGGACAGCAGCAGGTTTCGTGTGCAGTCCCAATAAAGATCTTTCTCACACTGACCTGCATCCCCAGCAGGTCACTTTTATATTTCAGGGGGATGTAGCTCAGTGGCACAAACACCTGCCTGGCAAGTGCAAGGTCTTGAGTTCGATTCCTGATACTCCCCCAAGCCCCCTCCAAAAAGTCAAACGTTTATTTTTCATTTGAGGTGGCCTCTCAGTAGGTCGCTAAGCTGTGATCTTCCTGCCCCAATCTCAAGAGCACTGCGATGACAGGTTTTGCCACTACACTCACTGAAGATTTCTTTCTACTAAATTTGTTTTTAAAAATAAATCTGCATAAAGAAAAATATCAAATCAGCAGTTGCAAGGCCTCACGGGGTGGGACGCAGGTGGTGAGCAGGCCCTTGAGTGACCTGAGCCTGGGGAGTCCTACGCTCCCAGTCACCTCTCAGCAGCCCCGCCTGGGCCTCCAGGCTGTGTCCCCTCCAGCGCGGCGCCCTGTAGGTCACCCAGAGCCCGCCGAACTGTGTTCCTCTGGGAGGAAAGGGGATCCCATCGCTGCCCCAAGCCTGCAGCATCCCCAGCTGGAGACAAGGTGGGGGAGGCCCCACCTCTGGCTCGAGGCGCCAGAGCAGGATTGTGGTGAGGCGGGGCGCCCAGGGCTCTCAGCCGCTCCACACCTGCCCCTGCCCTGTGAGAGCCCCGTCCACTTGCATTCGCCTGACACCAGCACGGGGTGCTGCTCCCCGACGGACCCCAGACCTCTCCCAGGACAATCTGAGGCCATCTGCACCCCCGGGCACCGCCACAAAGCCCCGATGCCCAGGATGCCAGCCCCCTTCCGCGCCCAGCTGTGCCTCCGGGATGGCCTCGAGCATCCAGCGACAGGCCTTGCACTGTCCACAGGCTGCATCCTGTCTCCTCCCGGGCTGATTCCTGGAGGGCAGGGGCACGTCAGGGCTCCTTCTCCACAGGACACAGCGTGGACACCGTCCAAGAGCTTCGTGTTTCTTGACTGACTCACTGATTCCATCCGGGCAGACTCAAGGGCCAGGATCCCAGCTGACGCTGCGCAGATTCTGTCCCGAGCCTCCCAGGCGCAGATGCACCGGCCCCATCAAGGGCCCCATTTCTGAGACGACGCAGGGTCCGGCGACCCGCGCACCCTCCAGGTCAGCCTCCTTGGCACAGCAGATACGCGAGTCTCTCCCTGGCTCAGGGTCTGCCCCCACGTGGCCAAGGGGCCTCCAGGAACGCCCGTCTCTCCCCATCCGCCCCAAACAGCAGCGACAGGGACTCTGCAGCTGCGGAGCGAGCGTCCAGCGCCTGCAAGCGGACTTGTCCCCTGAGCAGCCGTTACTCACGCTGACACAGGCCGTGTTTACGCCACCTCTGCGTCAGCAGACACCGCTCAGCCCAGGACACTCAGCCAGCATGCTCGCCACTCTGTTTGCTTTTCCCTGCCTCCATGGCGACCAGGCAGGCAGAGGACAGGCATGCGGCTCAGGTCCTGCTGGCTGGGCTGATCCACCCCTCTCCAAACAGAGCGGAGGAGGCCAGGATGTAGCCAGCGACCATGACGGTGACACCAGCCATCTTCCCCCTCGCTGGGTGGGCTGGGCAGCAGGAGGGGCAGCTCTGGGCCCTGGCCCCGCGTGTGGAGCCCGGAGGCCCTGGGCCGGGTGACCCCGAGGCCCACCTGCCCAGCTCAGCTCTCCCCGCCCACACTGCAGGACCGGGCGCCTTGGGGACTGCATCCCACCAGAGCAGCCCCACAACGCACTGCAGCTCTGCCCATCGAGGAGAGCCGGAGCTGAGCTTGGTCCCTGGCTTCCCTGCACAGCGCTCAAGTGTCCATGGGTCACAGGGTCACAAGGGGGTAGGGGGGGTCACTGCCCTGTCGACCTCTAACCAGCCGGCTGTGTTCACAGTGTGCAATGCCCACCCTGCACGCAGGCTCCGGCCCGTGTCCCTACACTGCCCCAGCCTCAGGCCGTCGGCCCCCTCACTTGAGTTCTTGCTTTACATGTCACCTCTCCCAGGCTGGAAGGACCCTGGCGTCTACCTCCCACCCGCGCAGTCCTGCCCCTCCCGTGGTCTCCCATTGTGACCAAACACCAGAGGGGCCCAGTGCGGGAGGAAAGGTGGACTTTGGCCACGGCTTCGGGGCTCCACGGCTTCCGGGAGCAGAGCGAGGGCCAAGCCAGGGCGCTGGGGAGACCCCCCAGTCTCACTGCCTCCCACCCAACAGTGCCACAAACAGCTGCTCAGTGGGTTGTGGTGGACAGAGGCAAGGCCAGTCCCCTCCGGCCCCGCAGCCGCTGCACTGGGGACGCGGCCTCTGCACATGCGCCTCGGGCTCCTGAGCTCCCGGCAATCATCAAGCCCCGCGTCTGCCAAGCCAGGACAGGGCCCTGAGCGCCAGCCCATCCCAGACGCCTGCACTGAGGACCCGCAAGGCGCCTTCCTCAGGAAGCGGGCAGAGGGTGGCGCTGTCTGGCCAGCCGTTCCCTGAGCCTGGGGGTGCAGAGCCCTTTCTGGGCAAGGACAGGAAAGAGCTTCTGACTTCAGCAAAACCGGCGCAGCGGGGGGGCTGGGGAGGTGGCACAGCAGTGGTGCTGCCTAGCATGCACAAGGCCTTGGGTCTGACCCCAGTACCACAAAGGGGAAAGGGTGCACAGAGGGGTACCATGGGGCTGGAGGAGGGCCGGCCCGTCATCCGCTCAGGAATGCTCACAAGGGTCCCAAGCCAGGTGCCTTCGGAGACTCCACCCTCAACAACGACGTGGACAAAAAAGAATCAAATTGTAGCCAGGCTTGGTGGAGCATGCTATCATGCTAGCATTCCAGGAGGCTGAGGCAGGAGGATCAAAAGTTTAGGCCCAGCCTGGACAACACATTGAGACCCTGCCTCAAAATAAAAAGTAAAAGCGCTGGGGAAGAGGCCAGTGCAGAGAGTTCAGTCCCCAGCCCCAAAAGCAGAGATTGCAGGTGTCATCCGCAAGCTCCAAATGACCTGATTGGCTGAGCAGGTGCTGGGGGGGGACAGTGGCTGAGAGGGCTCAGGGCTGGGGTTGGAAAGATGAGGAGGAGGTGCCAGGCAGGAGAGTGATAGAGTAAGGGCGGGGCCACGGGCCACAGGGCCGGAGGGGGAGGCGCAGCGCGGGCGGCTTGGGGCAGGGACTGGGGGGGGGGGACACAGATGGGGACGGGATGGGGATGGGGACACAGGGATGGGGCAGGGACACGGGAACGAGGACGGGGATGGGCTTCGGGTGCTGGGGCTGGCACAGAGCTCGGCCGCAGGGAGGTGGCAGCTGTGTGATGCGCAGCTGGGCGCCGTCGGTGGGAGGAGAGGGCCGCCACCCGACGGGAGGCTGGGCTGGAGCAGAGGGCGCCCGGCTGCGGTGATGCTGAAGAGGCACCGTGATGAGTTTCCAGCCTGCAGAGAGGCGGGTCTTCCCGCCACCACTGACTCCATCTTGGAAACGCACTACAAGACACAGCGCAGGGAAGGGGCGAGGGGCACAGACCGCTGAGACTCGGGCTTCGTCCTCAGGAACGGGACTGAGTGCGTGGAGGAATCGTGCGGCCGGGCAGGGGGGGCGCCGGGGTTGAGCTACAGCTCCCCTGCCTTCCTGGGGCACAGCCACGGCTGCCCCGACCCACCCCGAGCTCAGGGCTTTGCCGCTGTCACGCAGGGCCTGCGTCCTGTCCTCACTGCCTGAGACGCATGGCGGCTGGAAGCCAGGCTACCCGCACCATGTGCCGCTCTGTGTCAGCCCCTCTGCACCAACACTGAAACCCCAGGGCGGCAGGAGGCACCTATCACGGGGAGGCGGGGGGGGGGGGGGGGCAGCGGCACAGGGTCACCCAGCCCCGCGCTGTGCAGGGAGCAAGCCGGGTGGCCAGGCTGTAGCCATGGCAACAGGGTGGGACTGGCGGATCAGGAAGTGGCTTTACAACCCAGGGCACAGGGGCCAACCCCTTGGTTCCAGGGGTGCGGCTGGCCACCTGCACGGAGGGGCCGCTGTAAAACAGATGGTAGTGACAAAAACCAACAGTGACTAACACTTTTCCTGTGCCTTTGCAGGGTGCCAGGCCCCATGCCAATGTCTGACATGTCCCCGGGTGAGTAGGGCGACCTACGCC